CGGCCCTTTTACTAATAATATAGATTTTATGTAATGTAATCATCAACTGAAAATTTTAATCTCTTAAATTTTACTCCTCTTTATCTCCAAATTCAAATTCCTGATGATATTAAAATTGAAATTTCAAACTATAATCATCAAGACAATTGAATATAAATACTTTTATCCTCTAAGTTCACAAATTTTATTTTTTGAAAGCAAGAATCACCAATTAATATTTTATTCTTTCTTTTCTTTTTCTCAATTATTCCTCTAATTATTGATTATTAAATAAACCTTATATCTAATAAAAACATTTCACTGGCAATTCTTTTTATAACAATCTGTCAATAGCCTAATACTGTCTAGCAATTGCTCAATAACAATTAAAATTATATAAAAATCCATCACATTTTATTATAAATTTTTTATATACTTTTAAATTATGATTAATTAATTATAGTCTAATAAATGCGGACTTTGCATTTCATATGAAAAGTCTAAAGACAATTGATAGAGTATATAGGTTTTTCTCTTCAATTTTCCAATAATTATTTGATTTTGGAAACAAAATTTATGAAAATATATATTAACCTATATATATATATATGAACAAAATTTAGATGAACATGCCGGTTTTAATCTAGAAGAAATCCACAAGGTCACTAACACAATCTAACAAAAATAAAAACTGACCCAAATGCATATATGAGTTAAATCTTGTTGAATCTACGACTATAAAATTGATGCTATCATCACAAGATCTTCATTGCCTATCTCTTGGGTTTGATTGGAGATCTGTACAGTAAAAAAAATGAAAGCTACTTTGTTTCTTTAAATTGGAGTTATAAAACTCAATTAGTTAATCTCGCGTGCACTATGTGTGTGTATATATATATATTTAATAACAATCATATTATTTTTTGAATATATTATAATATAATATCATAAAATTATTTATTATATAATATTAATTAATATAATTTGATATAATAACTTTATTTAGCCATGAATATAAGATAAATACACCGGTCATTGAATGGTGCTATAACTACTCTTTTTCCAAGGGCCTATACGCTTTTACCATACAAAAATAATAAGTTATTTGGACAAAACAGTTGGTTGTGATCTGATTTTATTATTGTATAATATGGAATATCGTGCATGGTCCCATCGGGATCATCCAAACAACCCCTCAAAATATTTGCTGTCTAAACTTAAGCCTCTTGTTTTCGTATGAGGCCAAAGGGGAAACCACTTGTATTTTATATATTACTCATTTTAATTTAAATATTTTTTATTATTGGGAAAACGCAAATCAGGACCTAACTTTTTGAATAGGAAAACACATAAAGCAGTATTTGATATATTAAATCAATTATTGAGTGTCTTAATTATATTTTTTATACTGATAAAAAAGTATTAGTAGTTCATAGATAAGCTCATTTGGCTTATCAGCTCGTCACATGCATTCTAGAAATGTTTCCCAATGGTCGAAACTTCCCAACCTTTTATATATACTTTTTATTTAAATAAATAGGATTTGTTTAATCCTCTCATTTGCTTTCAAAATAACCCCAAAGCTTAGGAAATTAAATATTAATTTTTTATTTTTAAAATTATTAGAGATCAAATTTTAATCACTAAATAAAAAATTAATATTTTATCAATCGATCGTATAACTATTGATAATTAAATATTAATTTATTGATAATACAAAGAGGAAAAAAATCCTTCTTTAATGCATTAATGGATGAAGATTTTGGGAAAATAGCCATCAACGGTTCACTTTGCATTGACAAAGAGTTTCTTTCATGAAGTAGTTTAAGTAGAAAGAAATTTGAAAAGGTCAATCATTTTTCATTTAACAAACAAATGATTAAATAATTATTAAATCCATTTAATAATTTCGGGTTGGGTGAAGCTTTCAAAGCAAACTCACTCCAATTACATTCTCCAATCCAACATTTTCAAAATACAGGTGAGAGTGAAGAAAATTTAAATTAATAAAAATATAAATAAGCCACAACACCTGGACAGATTTAACGATAGCCACAAATTATTAACTTATTATAAATTAATAAATATTACTTTAAATACTTCAAATAAGTAACTTTAACATTTTTTAATAAAAATTTAACAGACAATAATTTTATTTTACAACATATAACCTAAATTCCAAAAATAAATCATTTTTTCTTTTTTATTTGCAAAATAATATAAAATTAAAATTTTCATAATTGAGCTATAAAATTAATTTATATAATTATTTTTAAAAAATAACATCTATCATATTTAAAATTCGAATAACAATACCAATAAATTTTTCTCATATTTTTAGATTGAGATTTAAAAAAAAAAAGTACATAATTTATCAACACAATAAAATATTAAGTATGCTTAAGGGGGAATTTTAATTTATATATTCATTTAGTGTGGAGCATTTCTGACGCCGAGTTTAACTTGTATTGTGTCTTGATACTCTTGAAAGCTTTAAGAGATGAAAGTAATTGGAAAAAAGGTGAAAACGAAATTATGATATTGTTTTCATTTGTTTACTGGTATGCTACAATAATATTTGAACAATGAGCAGAAAGGGATGATGAAAAAAATATTGCCAAGCTGTTTGTATTTTTAAAGCAAGTGTTGAACTCAGACTTTGCCTGCTCAAATTTCAAAGGTTTTTTTTCTTGGAAGGATCCCCAACCAAATTGTTGTCTAATCATATAAATATTTTTTCATTTAAATAATTTCCTATAATCATATTAATAAAAACTTAATCATTTGCTATAAATTATAAACAATTAAAATAACTGTTTCATACATTTTTAACGGAAGGTCTGACTGGTAAAAATAGCTTAGTAATATCAATAAATAATTAATTTAATTAGTTAAAATTTATTTTTTTTATTAAAAAATTTTGAGTGCCAATCTTATTAATAATTATTTATTTAAATTATTTTTAATGCATAATTTATAATTAATTATTTTAAATTATTAAATATAATATATTTTATTATAATTTAAAAAATTAAAAAATTTATCTATTTTAAATTTAAAAAAAAAAAAAGAAAAAACCCAGTGAAAATACAGATAAAATCCAACTGCCTCGAACTTGTCAAAGGCAAAGCCGAAAGACACTCGGCAAACTCAAATCCTTCAAAGTTCAAACCCAAAACGACAAAGCAAGCCTGTTGCTCTTTGCCACAGCTGGTTTGGGGCGGTGATTCCAATACTTTAATATTATTGGTTGGACCCTTAAACTCTCTCCTCCACCATTTTGTCTGAGAGATGGGCCCCCTCCAATGAAAATGGGTCACAGCCACCGCTAACCTCACCATCGGGTGCCGGTGCGCTTCAGGAGTCAATCCACCTTTCGATCTTCACCGTACGTTTGTATTATAATTTGTTTGTTATCAATCGACCGTACATGTTAGACACGTACGGTTAAAACATTTCGTGGCAGAAAAAAACAAGGAAAATAAAGGAAACAGTTAAAATGGGTCCCACAGGTCACCCATTTATTAACGTGAAAGGTAGAAAATCTCATGAATCGAAATTTTCGAAATAAAGGAATCTAAAGGGTAGGTTTATTCAGGAGATTTTGATCAATATTACGACTTCTGCCACTACTTTTTTTTCTTCGTCATTAATTTTTAAAATTTGATGGGAAACTTTTATTATTCAATTACAAATCAAAAAATTATCATATAAATACCTGTGGTAAAGAAAAATTCAAACCCCACAAACTTTTTTTATAGGATTACCATTTATAACTGTTAAACAATAATTAAGAAAATTAATAAATTAAAATAATTATTAATTACATATATGTGAATAATAATGACAAAAAATTGATAATTTAATGTACAAATCAGAGCAATTGTGAAAATGAAATATATAGGTATTTAGCGAAATGCGATGATTATAATGAGATTAAATCGATGAAAAAATAATTATTAAAATTATTAAATAAAAATTACTTATATTATAATTTTATAAATATATGATATTTGAAATGATAAAAAATTAACAAATAATAAATATAATAGTGTAAATTTACATATATGTATAAGAAAATTTGTTTAATATTGTGTTAAATAACACATAGTATTGTACAAGAAAAAATATTTAATATTGTGTTAAATAACAAATATTATTAATTATTAACTATAATACTAATAGTTATATATTTTATAGTGTTTTGCATAATTTTGAATACAAAGTTAAAAATAAATTGTACAGAATGACTTTAAACTTTTGTAAATGCATGAAATGAAATTTTAAAAATAAAATATGAAGGGAGGAGGAGCCACAATGACAATAGGATAGACATTCAACAATTTTTTTTTTTAAAAAGCAAACTCAATAATTTGAAATTAAATAAATAAAATTATGTCATTTTCGATATATTTTTTTAAATTCATCTATAAGATTAAAAAATTACCACATAATTACTATTAAAATAATATCATAAAAAAATAGACAATATACTAGTTCCATTTGTAAAATCTAAAAATGTATAAAAAATTATAGTTTAATAAAAAATGTTAGTAAAATTTAGACAAGAGAATTTCTTAATTGAATATGAATTAATTTTATAATTTTATTAACTTATTATTTTATTTTTAATTATAACTTAAAGGCTACATATTAATCTTGTAATTGAGCTTAAAAAATCAATTTATAATTTGTAAGATAATTGTCATTGTGTATAAAAGATATCATTCTTACAAATTGTTATTATTTATTTAAGAAAAGAGAGATTCAAACCTTACTATTTGATAGGATAGATGAATGAAACAGTTCTTACAAAATTTTAATTTTAAAAGATAAATAGAGATTTATACATAAATTACTAAAAAGCTTTTAAAAATTGAAAATCCAATCCCCAAAAGCACCCAATTTTGGTGCCATAAAAATTGATTCTCCAATGGTAGGACTGTTATTTATGTAGAAACCGATCCCTTTTTCGTAAAACCATTTATTCTTCGGTTTCTCTTTTTTTTTCTGCTCTTCTGTTTCACATAGCCATAAAGAGCCCTCCCAGCGTACCCAACTTTCTCTTACTGTACTGTCACGTTCACTTTTTAAATTCGTCCCGGTTCTCCACTTTCTCTCTCCCCAAACACTATTTTCTCTTCACTTTACCATCTGCTTCCTTCCATTTCTGAGTTCTGAGTGATAGACATTCGAAAGGCCATTCGCCTTTGCCTTCCATGGCGAATATTGCAAAGTACATGCCTATCAATGCGGGAACGACTGTCACTACAGACTTGAAGAATCTGTTTTCAGTAATCAAAACAAGAAGAACAGTGGCTTTCTTCATGTTTGCCTTTGTTGGTTTCACTGTTTTTTTAGCTTTTTTCCCTTCTTCAAACTCTTCTTCTCCTTGGGTTACCAACATCTTTTCATCAAGTTCCACCACTTCTGCTACTGCATACGCTGGCTCTTATAGATCTCAGTTCTCTTCCCTCTTTAATTACTTCTTTTCCAACACTTCTTCGCCACAACAACAAGGCCTTAACTTTACTACTTTTGATTCTTCTTCTTCAAATAATAATACCAGATCTAACAACACTGCACCTCAATTAGCCAACCCTGGAGAGGAGCTACTTTCTGAGAGAAACATCAACAAAACCCGATCTTTCGACAAAAATAAACAACTCCCCAGTTCAAAAAACACAACTTTGCAGTCTCCTAACACAAGTACAAACAACACTCAAAGTACGGTTTTGCAGGCAAATCTGCCCACAGTTTCTCCCCCCAGTGTGAGTAAAAATCTGCCTCGCACAAGCAACCAGGCTGAAAAGAAAGAGAATTCTGATAAAGCTCAAGTTTTGAAGGCTAATCAGACTACAACTGTCACTGAAAAAACTCGGGTGGTTGCTAATGAGAGCACAAATTCTCCAGCTAAATTTGATTCCTCCAACAAGGTAAGTTCTGGGAAGGGAGAGAAAAGTGTAGTGCAAAAAGGAACAGTGTCAAACTACACAGCATCCCTCACAAAGAAACAGGGGAATGGGAAGAACCAAGGGAATGGAAGTGGTTCAGGGCTGTCAGCTAAACAGGGGATTGAGAATTTGATAGAGTCTTTGATGAATTGCGATTTGTTTGATGGAGGATGGGTGAAGGATAACTCGTATCCGCTTTATAAACCAGGGTCTTGTTCGTTTATTGATGAGCAGTTTAGTTGTATTGTCAATGGAAGGCCTGATAAAGATTATCAGAAATTCAAATGGAAGCCTAAAAGCTGCACTTTGCCAAGGTAGCACTATTTTGAGCATATATGATCAGTTTAATTTTTTCTGTAGATTTTTCTTTAATGGATATTCAAACAATTTAGCAGTTGGATTGGTGTCGATATTTGAATTAGTCATATAGGGAATATATTTAATTTTGTTCATAATCTATCCCGGTGATTGTAATGAAATGAATCTTGTTTTCTTTTTTATTAAGCTAAGATGAATTAACATATATGAAATGATAATTTTTTCTGTTAAAGATTGGATGGCGGTCACATGTTGGATTTATTGAGGGGGAAGCGGCTTGTTTTTGTCGGCGACTCCCTGAATAGGAATATGTGGGAATCTCTAGTTTGCATCCTGAGAAACGCTGCAAAAAATAAAAAAAATGTTTATGAAGCTAATGGAAGAAACTATTTCCGAGGGGAAGCTTCCTACTCTTTCATATTCAAAGTAGGTTACTGATATTTCCCACTTAATGGTATTGATTAAATTGCTGAAATTTGATGAGACTTAATTTGTTTACCTGGCTTGTATGATGATGAATAGGATTATAACTTCACTTTAGAGTTCTTTGTATCTCCGTTCTTGGTCCGAGAATGGGAAATGCCAGACAAAAATGGAGCGAAGAAGGAGACACTGCGGCTTGATCTTGTCGGAAAATCATCTGATCAATATAAATCGGCAGATATCCTCATCTTCAACACAGGGCATTGGTGGACTCATGAGAAAACTTCCAAAGGGTTGGTTGATTATATTTCCATGTAACTTTTCGCAATTTACGGCTGCTACTGTAATCTACTGATTTTAATGATTATTTCGGTATTCAACAATGGATAACTACAGGAAAGATTATTACCAAGAAGGTAGTCATGTTTACAATGAATTGAATGTTCTTGAGGCCTTTCGGAAAGCTTTGACAACATGGGCTAGATGGGTTGATGCCAATGTAAATCCTACGAAATCTATGGTGTTCTTCAGGGGTTATTCTGCTTCTCATTTCAGGTAAAGGGAAATAATTTTGACATTGTTTTGGATGCACGATACTATTTGTTCCTTCATCTGCAGTCGGGTTTTGAAATAGAACAAAGGGATGGGGTAACCGGTTACTACTTTGAGAATTATGGAGGCACTGCATGTATATCTAACCTTGTTTTTTCTTCATGGTTGTTTGGAATTGTGTTTTGGTTAAACTATGATACAGCATTTCTAAATGTTTTCTTGCTGTTTGAATCTTTCTCCAGTGGCGGGCAGTGGAATTCAGGAGGAGCATGTGATAGCGAAACTGAGCCTATCAAGAATGAGACATATCTAAAGCCATATCCACCAATGATGTCGGTCTTAGAATCGGTGCTTAAGGGGATGAAAACGCATGTCACCTACCTAAATATTACCAGATTGACTGATTTCCGAAAGGATGGCCACCCATCAATCTACCGGAAACACCCAAAGCAACAGTTGTCGGAGGACGAAAGAATAGCACCTCTAAAATACCAGGACTGCAGCCATTGGTGCCTTCCTGGTGTACCAGATTCATGGAACGAGCTTTTGTACGCTGAGCTCCTTGTGAAAGAAAACAAAATGCGACAACATCAAAGGAGAGCTAGGTAATATAAATCATACAAACTTTGATCTGTTTCGAGTCGAATCACATATAGGCAGTACAGATTTTTCGTTCATTTTGAAAATTGTAGAAACAAACAAACATAAAAAGGATAAGATCAAATAAGCCTTCTTTTTCCCACTTATAAATTATGGAAGTGTGATAACGGATAAATCAAGCACTATTCTTAGAGAGATCAATCTGTACTGTAATAATTTTTCCTTGTTGATAGTATAATTGAAAGTAGAGAGGATGGTTTTGGATGTTTTAAGATTTGGAGATGGAAAATATATCCTTCCCCTCCCTTGCCACCTAAAATATTTTTTTAGCCTCAAATTTACTTTGAGGATTGTAAATCTCCTTTAGTTTATTTAATTTAAAAATAAAATTGCAGTGGATGGTTTCTCTTTCAATATATACAGCCTTGCATGTTTTTCTCTCATCTGTTCGGTCTTCCTCCTTATAAGGATTCTGCCTTCTGAAGAACCAAAAAAAATTATCTTTTTAAACATATATTTAATTGTTAAAATTTTTTTATACAAAATTATTAAAGAGTATAAAATTAAATTAATTCGAAACCAATGTAAGGGAATTTCTTTCCTAATTAAAATAATATTATGAGAAATATAGAATTTTTAGCCATTTAGGTTTGAATTTTTTTAAAGATTTTATCAAAGCATTATTATCTGTTTTTCAAATATTTCGGCATACCGGAAAAGCAAAATTGACGCAAAAGAAGACGCCTTGATCGCCGTACTGTCTATTTATAATTAAAAAAAATGAAATCATTGTGACTTTCTGACTTTTGCTATGTCATATTCGTCTTGTAAAGTATGGGTCCCTGTGATCCTTCGGACAAAAATGAATTCTAGAACTGTAAAAGACCGACCATCCGCGGCTTTTCATAAACCAAATTTTTAATATTAAATTTGATTAGGTTGAATAATTCTACTGTGGTCGTTTTCTCACATTGTCACATCGTATGTTTTGACTAATCCGTCATCGTATTAAAAATCACTGTGTATTTTTTAAAATAAAGAGGTTATAAATATATTTTTTTATAAAAATAATTATATAAACTAATTAATGTAAATCTTGAATTTAAAATTTATATTGTTAATATAGTTTGTAGAATTAGTAAATTGATAAAACATTATTATAAGACAAAAAGCTTACCTTGTCTTAATCAAAAGCCTTTTCCACATTATAATCAATCATTTTCTTGTCAATTAAGAGTTTTTTTTTTCTTTCCTCTTAATAATAGTCTTTAATCTCTAGTGTCGGCAACTACAAGCAAAGCAAAGAAAAGCAAGGCTCTTCTTATCTCTTATGATCAGTGTATATTTAATCATGATGTAACATTATGCTTATTCTTTTAATGGTAAAATGAGAGTTTTAAAAGTTCAAATCTAAAATATACAAAATTTTTGCATTGATAACTGCTTGTATGATATCCTTTCACTTAAAGAATTATAATTAAAATTTCCCATCTCTTATTTCCTTTTGTTTCTTTTTTTTTTTTAATTTTTAGTTATATATTTTTTGAAACTTCTTTTATCTTGATATAATGACAGCATTCAAATTTAAATTTCTGCCACTGATCTTAATATCTTAATTTGGTTCTTTTTTTTTTTTTTTTTTATCAATTTAGACTATTGATTAATGCCTCTATCACGAACCCACACTGAATTTTCTTTTCTTCTTACAGCATCCTTATCTCTACCTTATTTTTTAATTAATATTTCACCCACTCGACCATCAGTCCATTTCTGATTCATTCTTTTCAAATTCTTTAATTAACTTTAAATATGAAAAATCTTTAACATGGCTAAATAACAGAAATTGGATATAAGAGGAATTAAGAGATAAAATATGAAGCCGAGAATAAAATTGCCAAATAAAGAAATTATAACCAAAATGTTAAAAAGGAAAAGTTATTAAATATGAGGTTTTCGAAAAGAATGCCTCGATCAATTTTTGTTGTCATATTGTATGTGAATTTGGCTAAATATCAACAGAGAAATCAACCCAAAATGAGGGGAGAATCTATTTAGAAAGAGACAAGAAATAAGGATGATTTGAATGCTAAATATCAAAGTTTTTTTTATTAGTTTGAATACGTTGAAACACGTAATCAACTAAAGAAATATTATTCATTTTAATTCAAAAATATGATAATTTTATTTCATAAAAAATGTTTAACAAATTTGAGTTTATATATCTATATATATCATATTATATTCATATATTTTTTTAATGTAGGATCGAAAATATTACAATATTTACACTTTTAAAACTTAATTTTTTTCAAGTTGAGTTCAACTATGAAATTAAAATCATATTAGATATTAAAATTTTAGAAATAATTTTTCACCGTATTCTTGTGACTCTTATGTTAAACTGAAAACATTATAATATCCTCACTTTCAATACTTGATATTTTTGTCAAGCCGAATTTAACATAAAATCAATATCACATCAGATGTTAAAATTTTAAAAATAACTTATCACCGTATAGCATTTAGCAACTCTCATGATATAGTTCTTAATTTTTTTTAACCGATGACTGCTCTAATACAATTTCTAAAGGCTCGTTTTTAACTTATAAAATATTATTTTCTTCGACCTAAAAATTTCATAATTTTATTCTAAAAAATATATATTTAAATTTAAATATTTATATTATATTATATCATATTCATACGTTTCTTCGATATAAGATTGGTAGTTTCACAGCATATGTTGAAATGATAAAAAGAGTTCCAATATGTCCAAAAGAGTGAATTTTTTTTCCCCCTCAAAGTGCAAACATGCATGTTTCTGAATTATAATCATTTTGGGCCAATTCGAAGGAGTGTTTTTTGGACATTGTGGGTTTGCTAGAAAAGTTTGCCCACAAAATTTGCAGACCCTGATCCCTAATGATTTCTTGGGCCTCAATTTCGCTACTATAAGCTGTGGAAACAAGCCCACGTATATTAATGTTGAGGTTCCTAGGCCTGCCCCTGTTATTCTTTTTTCTTCTCACCGAAGCTCGAGGTTAGCTTTATATATACACACGAAGATGGATTTAACTTGCATAATATAAATTTAAAAAATTATTTTTTAATTATTAATTTTAATAAATTATAAGAATGAGAGAGACAAGTGAAAATTTTGATTTAATCTCATCCCTTTGATCTTAAAATCAATTATTGAAAAAATATGTAATTTTTTTTTAATTTTATACTATGTAAATTAATCATTCTTATATATATATTTCTCTATGTAGATAATATAGGAGAGGAAGTGGCCAAATAGCTCCAACCAATGATATCTTTTATTGATTGATGTTTGGTCTTAATTCATTTTCAATTCATTAATTTCGAAATTGGACATCTCATCCCAAAAAATCTATATCCGTCGCCAATCCCCCTTTCCTTTACCCCTTTTCTCTCTCTCCCTTTCCTTCCTCTCCCCCCTACTCCTTTTTCTTTTATATTTATTTAAATCAAAATAATATTTTTAAATTTAATAATTTTAATCTAAAATATATATTCCAGTTCGGATCTCCTCAAATAAAAAAATTTAAATCATTATCCAATCTCTTTATCAATTATCTTTAAAAATCACAAATTCTAATTATTAGGTGTTACTTGTGAATTTCTCAATAAAAAAAAAACATAATAAAAAATGCTCTACTTCCAATTTATTTTTTATTGAAATTATCCAAATTTAAATATTAATCATTAAAATTAAAAATTTAAAGTTATACAAATGCATCACTCTCAATTTGCTCTAAAATTGTAGAAACTAAAGGGAAAGCAAGATACCACAAGTCAAATGGAAAATGTCGAAATAAATGAATACTAGTATAATAAATAAACATCTAGGATTAAATATTCAATTTAAATACAACAAACCATTAGATTACATTACATTAGGGCAGTCACTATAATTAATCAATTTCTTTCCTCGTCAAACAGAACAGGCAGCATTCTAACAAAATTTCTTAGACTTCTTCCCCCCCCCCCTCAGCCCCCCCAGTCAAAACAAAATCTAACAAAATCTCAAATCTCGTTTTTCATCACCAAGAAACCTTCTGGAGTGTAGAGACAAATTAAAAAATTTCAAGAAAGGCAACAAAAAAATTCCTCCAAGCCAATAATATTTACAAAATTTTTTTAAAAAAAGTGGTCACATCCTTTGACTGGTCACATCCAATGATTTCATGAAGCTGCCTGGTGGGCTTGGGGCTGGCTCTGGGTCACATGCGTTTGAATAGGTGAAAAAGGGTATCCTCTGGTCTTAGTCAGTGTTAAGCCTCCAGTTTTGGCATCGGTGTTGCTGCCAGATGGGGCGGCGGCGGCGGCAGAGGCGTTGGTGGTGGAAGTGGTGGCGACACGCTCACATGAAGGACACATAGTGAGGGTAGTGGCAGGTAGCTGCATGTAAAATGGTTGAGAAGTTTTCAAGGCTCTCAACTCTTGCAGTTCTTTCTGCAACCTCCTATTCTCTTCTGTCAGTGTTTCGCAGCATCTCTTTAAATACTCACAATCTACCTCCGTCTGCTTCAGTTTTGTCCTGTTTTGTAATATTTTATTCAAATCAAAATTAAAAAATAAACCCAAAAATTACATATCATTAAAAAAATATAATTCTATTCTACATTAATAAAAACATTCTCAGTTGATCATATTGGAAATTATTGAATCCAACAACCATGAAATAAAAAAAAAAAAAAATACCTTGCTCTTCTATTCTGAAACCAAACTTCCACTTGGCGAGGACGAAGATTTAATTGCTTGGCCAAGGCAAGTTTTTGCTTCTTAAACAACATTTAAAACGTAAATCAATGAAAATTTTAATCCAGAACCCTAAAACAGTGAGAAAATTAAAAAATTTTGACTTACAGGATTGAGAGTATTGTGTTCTTTGAAACTTTCTTCAAGAAAAGCAGATTGTTCTTTAGAGAGCCTTAGTTTCTTCCGGGTTGAACCGTTCTCATCATCATCGCTAGCTCTCGAGCTAGCCCTTTCAGTTTCAACTTCCAGGTCTCTCTTGCCTATGCTGCTTCCGTTTCTAATCCCAAAATCCATCTGAAAAGAAGACACCGCGCTGTTGGGAGACGACAGCGCTGCTCCTTCCTCAGCTTCATCAGCCATCGCGACCACCGGTAACCGGTTCACGTCTAACCCTCTTCCCGGTCCTTCTGATGAACCCGTTTCTGTCATCAATGTTACAAGGCAAAAGTTAATATCTTTCTTCAAGTCAGATGATAAAAACATATAAAAAAAAGTCAAAATCCAAGAACACCCAGATCCAAATATCCCATAAAATATCATATTTGGTTGCGAAGAGAACTAAAAGAAGAAAAAAAAAGGCCTGTCTTTTTTAATTTTCTTCATTAGGAAAAATGGAAGCTTTTGCTTTGACCAGGCTAAGTACTTAATTAATAAATATTAGAAATAAATTTTTATTACAAACCGGAAATGCAAACTTCAATTTTGCTTCTTCCATATCTTAACAAAAACCAGAAAAATAAACAAAAAAGAAAAGATGAAGATTGGAGTAAAGGGGTAAATAAAACACTAACGATTATTAGTGAGCCAACGAAAGCGAAGCTGAGAAGAAGGTTGGGTCCGAGGAACAGGAGAGAAAGGAAGAAGATCAAGCTGACGAGGTGGATCTGAAGAAAACCTTTTGTCATGATCTCCATCTCTACTAGCTTCTCCTCTACTTCCACCTTCAAAAGCAACCCCTTTCTCTTGTGATCTGAACCCATTTCCGAGCACCATGCAAAAACCTAGATTCTTGCTTGTTAACTTTGGGGTTTTGTTTAGAAAAGAAAATGGTTTTGAGGGTTCACCCAAGCTCAAAGCTAACTCCATTAACCTTGTTCTTGCAAAGAGAATACACAAAAACAACTGCAAAGACGGCTTCGAATATCTTCTTGTTATTATTTTCTTGATGAAGTGAGATACACCCTGAAAAGAGAGTTATTTTTTTAAAAAAAGAAACCCTACCCCAATCTTGCTTAATGTAAAACACACAACCCACCACCCCCTTGACACTCCTTTTTATTTGCTTTGCCTTGTGCGAGTAAAGATTGACCGACAAATCCACGTTGATAAACGCACGTGAATCTATATAAATATACACCGGTTCATACACGAGAGAGAGAGAGAGAGAGAGACAGAGACTGAGGAAAGAGAGATTTCTTGAGGGTTAGAGCAAAATCTTTGGTTATAGTATGTTAACAAAAGGAATTCGAATAAGTTTGACTTTTTAGAGAAAATGAAATGGAGAGAGAGAGAGAAGAGAGGGATATATATGCCTGATGACTGACGAGAAAAAATGAGGCCTTGGGCAAATCTTTTCTTTTACCGGGTAGAAGGCAACGGCACCTTTTTCTTGTTTTTCAATTAAGAACTGTATCTATGGCAGCACCACTTTCCACAGCACAATGCATTATTAAATACTTGATGTGAAGATTTTGTCAATTAATGTTACTGAATTATTGTGTTCTCACCAAACAAGGACCACAAATCATCATCATCATCTCAACATGAGAAAATTATTTTTCATCCGATGGCACGGATCAGCAAATCTTATTCTTCTACCCTTTGGACCCAACTTGTTTTTAACCCCCTTGCCAACCCTTTTTTTTTTAAATTTTTATTACTATAACGTCTATTAAATACTACTATTATTATATATTATACTCATCATGATGATATGAGGAAATAATGATTAAAATGTTTTGTTTACCAAACACAATTATTCAGCATCGGAACTGTTTGTTGTTTCGTTTGTTTTCAAATGATAGCCAATTTAATCCAAGATTTGCAGTTTCCCATTAGTCAATTAACATTTCCTCCAATGACGTAATTGAAATGAAATCTGACCCCGCCTGGGAGAGCTGACTAGCCAACCAAAATAGTGCACCTTTACCAGTTTCTTCCAAGGTGGCATCAACCAATTGGCTAGACTGATACAAAACCATTCTTTTGAGCTAAACCTGATGTATGAACAGAGAAAAACACTGGGAAGAAAAAGAAAATAAAAAAAAAAAGATAGTCGTTAAATAATTCCATAGTCAGATTAGAGATTAGCATGAGATTTTGACAAAAAAAAACTGCTTTTTATTAATGTTCAATCCAAGCAGACAAAGAGACCATCTTTTACTATTCCAAAGAAAGTTAGAAGCATATATATTTGTGTTGTAACAATAATGAAAAATAAAGGGCAATGTTCTTTTGTGTCTTTTAAGCAGAAACTGGGTATCCAATGAGTGAAAATTTTGGTTGAAAATTTGAAGAGGGATGGATGGGGGGTTTTTTGGGGCTTGGGGAGTCTGATGAACAAGACGAGTGGTCCCACGCGCGTGGGGTGCCCTTTGAAGAAAGGAGGTAATAAAAATACACATTTAGAGGATGTGACCAGGTCAGATATGTCATGCTTTTGGGATCATTGCAATAATTGAAGTCATGCAGGCTTTAATGATAGGTTGGAGAGAGAAAGAGAGAGAGATGAGTGAATTATTGGGTGGGCACATAAAAGAACCGCGGGACAAAGTGACACCCATACACGAAGGCTCTAACTTAACCCCCAAGTACTGCTTTCCTTGTTTGATTTTTTTTAACGAAAACTTCTAGATAAATAAATTATTTAATTTTTAAATTAAAATAAAATATATTATATTTAATAATAAAAAATAAATAATTTTAAATCATACATTTAAAATTATTTCAATAAATAATTATTGATAATATTTAAATATAACATCTTTTATTAAAAAAAAGAAACCAATCACTTTCTATTTGCTTGTCATGATATTCAAGGATTTAATCATATGGTTTAGGCCTTTTCCGAGATTGCACATGTCATTTGCTCATTTCATTTTACTACCAAACAACTTGTTTATATTTGTTCATAAAAAGTATTCAGGAAATGATAAATTGTTCAAACTTTATGTTAAACAACACATGTTGAGAATTATCCCTACATTAAATTATATTAAAATTTTATTTAAATGCAACCACATCATAAGGAACACAATCAATGGTGATTAACCATCAAATATCAAAATATCATTCATTTTCTTATTTTAATTTTTTATTATTATATAATAAATTAATAAATAAAATTTATTATTATGTAATTAATATGAGTTAAATAAAAATATATAATTAATAATAAAAAATATTATTTGATATATTACTATATATTATTTTTATTTTATTTTATTTATTGTAATTCTTTGTATTATTTTTATGGAAGCTTAGTTATATGAATATATTTAACTATTATTTCAAAATAAATTTTTTTCAAAACAATAAATTCAAAAATATTAGTAATTATGTCACAGATAATTTGGAACATAGCATATTTTAAAATATTAAAATAACTCTTAAATTATTTCATTTTTTAAATAAACTTTTATGCTTTAATTATATTCAAATAAATTTTTTATTTTTTATTTGTATTCAAATAAAAAATTGATTTATATTAACGTTTATTTAAATATAAAAATTAAAATTTAAAGATTTATTTAAATATAATAAATATGTAAAAATTTATCTCAATAAATAAAGAAAAAAAATTTATGAGTTTTTTTTTTTAGCCGTTATCCATTTACCGAACGTCTAATCCGTAGTGCAAAATTCGTATACGTCCAATCAACTCAAAATCATAGTTACGTTGAAAAACATCAAAACTTTGGCTGATTTTCAACTACGTACAATCATATAAACAATTTAACCCCTCAATTATCACTTCCCTCTCCTTCTATTGGAAGGCCCACACAACATGAACAACATTCTTCTCATCGTTTCTTGCATCCACTCGCTTGCATTCTCAAAGTTACTAGAAGCAATGTTTACAGAAAAGGTAAGGTGTGAATTGCCTCGTGGCCTGCAACAGATGCGAATTCTAAAATTATTATATAAATTAATTAAATTAAAAATTGAAATTAAATAAGTGTTTTATTGATTCAAAATTTTCATCTTTTAATTTCAAGATTCAAATATCAAATTATTAGCTTAAAATTTTATAATCAATAGAACAAAATATATATTATGGTTCGAACTTAAAATTTTTATCTAAATTCTATTTTATTTACCATAACGATTTTTCATCCAGGGAGATTCGATCGTTAGATTTGGTGAAAATTTTTGGAATCGTAATCAATCTTTTTATAAGATGTGATTGATCACTCAAAATATCATCTTTTAGTAAAAATTTTAAAATTAATTAAAATTTATTAAAATAAGTTTAAATCTGTGAAATCAAGATTAAGTTTGAAAGTACGATTACAAGTGAGAAAAGTATTAACACTCTCACGTCGTTCGTTCGAAGAACGGTATTATTTAAACATGCGTAATCTTATAATTTTGATAACGTTGTCTTTTTATGTAAATTTAATTTCTTAAAATTTATTTTAAAATATTTTTCTCTGTTTCGAAATTAACATTATTGTTATTATTTCATATTTTATAAATTCTCTAACGCTTTGGTGAAATTTATAGAAAATTACTATTTAAAAAATATTTCGAGAAAATTGACCATTCACAAAATTCTTAAAACTTTGTCATAAGATATTTTAATTATTTATTTTAAAAGAGATTTTAAGAAATTTCGACTTTTCGGTGAGTTTCCAAAATTTTGAACAAATTTTAAGATTATTCGACTCTTCAGTGAAATCTAAATATTATGGTTATTTTAAAATTTTGTATTATTTATTCTTTAATTATTTTTTATAAGAAAAAATTTAGATTATCCCGACTCACCGATAAAATTTAAATATTAATATCTTGTTTGTATTGAAGAAAATTGAACTCTTTCAATTTTTTATTTTTTAAAAAATTCAAAATATCAATTATTATTATTATTATTTTTTATTATTGTTTTATATTGTTTAAATCAATCTTTATTTTAGTAAAAATAATTTTGGATTATCCAAACTCTATGGTGAAATTCGAAAAATTATTTTTACTTGCGATAATTAAAGAAAACTAAACTTTTTAACTTTATCTAAAAATTACATTTAAAAGATTCATTTAAACAATTTATTTTTTTATTTATCAATTTTTATTTATTTTAGTAAAAATTATTTTTTAAAATTATCCAAACACTTTGGTGAAATTTAAATAATATTTTTGCTTGTAATAAAATTTATTTCCTTTAAGTAGTTATTATTATTAAATTTTTTATTTATATATTTTTTAGGGTCTTTATTTTATTTCAGTTTCATTTTTTATTCTATTTATTTATTTGTTTTTTTTAAATTATTACCAATAATAATAATAATAATAAATAACAAAAAATCAACATAAAAAATCAAAATGAAAATCAAAACAAAAAAAAAGAAAAACCCGCGAAACGAGTCGAGTTGGCGCGCGGATCCTGCGGGAGTCAAGTTCGGTACAGACGTCCAAAATGACATCATTTTAAAAAGCCTATAAAAGGCCTGTTTCAACTTTTTTCTTTTTCCTTTCTCTCTCTACCCAGAGCTCCTCTTTCTAGAAAACCCAACCGCTTATGCCGGTCACTGTGGAGCCTAGTTTTTGATCAATTATCATCGTGCATCGATGGCTAGAAACTTCAACGGCGCTGAAAATTTGAAAGATCCCTAGATTTCGAGGGTCAAAAAATTCAACGACTGTCGAAAAATTTAAACATTTCCAATTTTCGGTGACCCAAAAATTTTTTCAAAATTTTTTCAAAATTCTAAAAAATTCTCCCAATGATCCTTTTTGCTTTCTAAACACCTTTCCAAGCTCAGATTTTTTGAAAAAAAATCTACAACTTCCTGGATTGAGAATTTCATTCTCAAAATTTTTTTTTATTGTGTGTGTGTTCCCTCTTATTGTTCTTCTTTTTTTATGTCTGTTCATTACAGAGATTAGCTCTATTTATAGAGTTTATGAGATTAAAGATCTCAGATCTTCTGGGATCTTTTTATGGAAAATTTAGGTGTCTATCCGATGACTTTTGGTCACTGGAGTCTCAGGAAAAAATTTGGACCATTCTGGCAGCTTGATTTCGGCTGCTAAAATTGAAATCAAAGATTTTTTTTTTACTTTTTTTTCTTTTCTTTTAAAGATTAATAATAATAATAATAATAAACAAAATTATATAATAATAATAATAAAAGAATAAAACTGGTGCCTACAGCTGACTCTCTTTGCTTATTTCTGAGAAAAAAAAATAAAGTAAAGACAAAAAGACACCAATTTTGTTCAGGTAAACACATACAAAAAATGAAACATTAAACATAAAGTTTTTTTTTAAATAAAATTTGAAAGGCTCATCTAAATAGAGGCTATAAAACTTTAAATTCAAAAAGCTCATCTTACCAGAGGTAACAAACTTTAAATTCAAAAGGCTCCTCTCATCAGAGGCAACAAACTTTAAATCCAAAAGCTCCTTTAACCAAAGGCAACAAACTTTAAATGTTAAAAGGCTTCTCTCATCAGAGGTAAAAAACTTTAAATTCACAAGCTCATTTAACCAAAGACAACAAACTTTAAATTTCAAAAGCTCATTTAATCATAAGCAACAAACTTTAAATTAAAGATCTGAGAGAACTTATAGATTATGTCACTTAGTCTTACAAATCATGTCTAATTTTGATAGAGTCTTTTGACCAGAGGCTCTTGAAATTAAAAAAAAACTCCTCTGACCAAAGGTAACAAACTTTAAATTCAAAAAGCTCCTCTCACCAAAGGCAACAAACTTTAAATTCAAAAGGCTTCTATGATTAGAGGCAACAAAATTTAAATGTTAAAAAGCTCATTTAACCAAAGGTAACAAACTTTAAATAAAAATCTGAGAGGTAATGGTTTTTGAAAGATTTCTTTAAACAGAGGGTTCACATCTTTTCTGCTTTTAACTTTTTTCTTTTGTTGGTCTTGGATTGTCCTAGACCCATACATTTGTCGTGTCATATGAATGCGTGAATGATATTTTCATATTTTTACAATGCCAAGCAATAGATGATGATCATGATGTGAATATACTTATTATGCAAATGAAAATATCATCTTTTTTTTCTCTTTTTTTTGTTGTCATTTTCCTTTAATCCTCAAAATTTTTCAAAGTTTGTTTCTTTTTTTCTTCTTTTGAATCATATGCATTCCAGCAATTGATTAAGTTCAAATAAAAACTATTTCTCTTCATATCCCATATTCCATGTCAACCACTTTATGACTCATAGGCCACTATTTTCATTGACCTTTATTCTTTAATATTTTGCATATCATTTTAAATCTCTTTCAAAATAATATGTGTGTCTTTTATGATCATTGTTATTCCTTTAATAATCTTTTAAATTTTACAATAATTATAACATATTGTACATTTTTCTTTTTAACGAGAGGGACAAAAAAAAAGATCAACAAAGAAGTATTTTATTAAGAAAAAGGGAGAAGTGTTTCACGCATTATCAAAAAAGATATAACAAGGACAATAAGTAATCACATAACAAATATTTAGATCATCA